TATTTGAAGAATGTAGGAACTTACGGATTGGGAATCCGATATACGGATCTTTCCGAATTGGATTTGTAAGTTAATAAAATAAAATGTTAACCGCTAATCAGTTTTGGAAATTGGTGGAGATCCAACCGTTGGATCGTAATGAAACTTAAGTATGTTGTTCTAGAAGCATATCGTGTATCATGAGAAGTTACAGATTGAAAATCTGACATGCGGATCTTTCAGATCGAGTTTTGCAGGGTTGTAGACCCTACCGTCGATTTTTGATCGACGATTGACTTTTGGTCAATGGTTCTCAAATTATTCTAGATGGTCCTTGAGGATATGTTTTATGTAAATTATGTGTTCTATCGGTAAGAACTCTGAGATGTGATTTGATAATTGGTCACAGGTGACGATAGTTCGTGATGCCTCGACATTCATGCGAGGGAGTCATAGCGCGGACCTAAGGTGAGTGAGTATTTTCCTTTTATCATATACATATTTATGTGATTGATAATTCTACAAATGCTTTTAAAATTGATATATGCATGTTACCTACAAAATAATTGATGCGAATTACAATTGGCTTGATCCTTGTTTAGGGTACGTAGGCAGTCTAACGAGACGTTAAATGCAGCCATACAATAAATAAGACTAAATAATTGAGACAATGGCCTTGTTTGGGGAATTGAGCAATGTGAAGGAGATTGGTGGAAAATGTGAGATTTAACCTTATGTTTTAGTGGTTAAATGCTGGTTATAAATCAATGTGTGAAGAATCGTAACATTGAAGTGAAAAATAGTTAGTAATGATAGTTAACTAAACTAGTGTTTAGTTGGGCTTATTACCGATAATTATTTCCAAAGGTAAATAGTTCGGGAATGGGGCATTACAGCTTATACATTTTATGCCATTTGTATATATGTTTATATATTTGGAAATATTATGATTTGGTTGGATTTCAGATTTATATCTTGGTATATCCATATGTATGTTACTTGTACATAATTAAAGGTGAACGCCTTGAAGTGCAAAGGTGAACGCAGGACACACATGTAAGTTCAGGTGAGTATATAGTATTAGTTGAAATGATGGGGTTATGGTATGACTACATTTATGTTTTAGGCAACTCCGACATTGTCGTACAGGTTGCAACAATAGGCAACTCCTACATTGTCGTATAGGTTGCCTATGAGTTATATATGGTACGATAGATGCAGTTAGAGCTCATAAACCTGCACCTCGGTGTTAGTGCTCCCGCCCGTGGCCAGGGCACAGTCCTTCACGTGATGTTCACCTCCTGCACCTTACGCTTACCTTGGATTCAAGGTAGGTGCGCAGTTCTGTCGTACAGACCACTATAGGTGGTTCTGACTTGTAGGTGACCCACAATTATTCGCACAGTCTTCACGTGATCGTAGCACTTGAGCGTATTTATTTACACCCAATCTTGTCGTACAGACCACTTTAGGTGGTTTCGACTCGTGTGCAGGTGTGGTGCCGTAAAAGTCACTTTAGGCGACTCCAGCTAGATTGATTTATGAGCTATAAATTCAGCCGTACAGGCCATAAGAGGTGGATCCGGTTGACATATTACTTGGATATTGATTGATGAGATATGGATAAGTCGTACAGGTCACTATAGATGACTCTGACTTATGTGCTAGCATTGATTGATGAGATATGGATAAGTCATACAGGTCACTATAGGTGACTCCGACTTATGTGCTAGCATTGATTGATGAGATATGGATAAGTCGTATAGGTCACTATAGGTGACTCCGACTTATGTGCTAGCATTGATTGGAGAGATATGGATAAGTAGTACAGGTCACTATAGGTGACTCCGACTTATGTGCTAGCATTGATTGATGAGATATGGATAAGCCGTACAGGTCACGTGAGGTAACTCCAGCTAGCATGTTGATGAGCTATTGGTTCAGCCGTACAGGTCACGTGAGGTGACTCCGACTAGCATGCTGATGAGCTATTGGTTCAGCCGTACATGTCACGTGAGGTGACTCCGGCTAGCATGTTGATGAGTTATTAGTTCAGCCGTACAAGCCACAATAGGTGGATCCAGCTGTCATACCATTTCATATTGATTCATTTCACCTGGGTTACTTATCCTTGTTGAGATATTTGACACGTCATAATTGTGAGACTGCTATTTTCTTTATGATTTTGAGTTATAGTCACGCCTGTTACTTTCTAGGAAATTATATAGATGTTACAACGAGGGGTTACTACCTTTGGTAATTGAAATTGGTTTGAAAAGTTTTGATTCACTCACTCACATTTTATATATTATCACACTTTATGGTTTTGTCACCTTCCAGGTGTCGGCCAGCACAGCTCGATTCGAGGTCCTAGTGGACATTCCGAGTCGAGGTGTGTCAGTTTGGTATCAGAGCATAAGTTGGGTAGTATTGTGTTCATCACACGCGTGATGTGAGCATTCTTGGTTTTTGTGTCTAATGTTCGAGTCTTGCCACCTCGTCAAATACGGAAAAATATGTTAGCTTTCTTCAATTTTGGGCAGTTTTGTGGTCTTGACGACATTTTAGAAAATCATTTTGGTGTTTGTCCTTAGAATTAAAACGAAGTTATTCCTTGTGAAAGAAATGTGTAGATTTGAGGCAAGTTGATGGCCTAAGTTAATGTATTGATAATCGTGTATCATCGGAGATTTTACCAACCAATTCCATCATCATTCTTCCGTTGTTAGAATTGATTCTTTTGAGATTAGAAATCTCAGCTAGTTTTGATTTCTTGGTAGTATTGTTAGAATATCACCTAATAGAATTCTTGCAAAGTCTACTTTAGTTAAGACTGTAGAAGTGTCTCATGCGGTAATGTGGTGCTAAAGTGGTAACACTCGGCGGAAGAATATGCTGAGAAAGTACTTTTGGTCCCTGGTAGTTTGATATTTTGTGATGTTACTTTCAATCATCAAGAAATCTTGTTAGATTATTCTTAAATTTTACCTCTCTATTTTTGACTTGGGACAACGTCGGAATTGTTTAGTTTTTTTTTTTTTTTATCATAATTCATCACTTTTGAAATTGTTCGACTTTTTGTTATTAGTCTACATCAGCTATGTTCGTACCCTCAACTTCACTCCTGGTATTAAAGGTAATTGGGTTGATTTAGAGTCACCAGTCTGTTTCCCATATAATTTCGGATAGGGACAAACTGTCCAGGAGGACCACTTAGAGATGGAAATTGTACATTTAATTCAGATGTCTTCTACTCTAGATTTCATGAATTTGTTTTGACCCTCAAATTCTTCAGTGTTCTTTTAACCTTCTCGACATGGTTTCTCGCTCAGTTAGTAAACCAAATTAAATATAAATAAGTTTATTTATTTATTTAATATTTGTGTGTTTATATTCCAAGCCCAATTTAAGTTTAGACCCAAGTTTTAAGCTTTTGTTTTAGGGGTGTGATATCCACACACCCCATTTTACTTCTCAGACACCTTTTTAATTTTCGACCGTCAGATCAAATGAATTAAAGAAGATCAACGGATAGAAATTATCAAGGGGTGTGTGAGAAGTAAAATAGGATGTGTAGATAGCACACCCCTTGTTTTAGGCCAACCATTAACCCATAATCCAAGTCATTTTTCTTCTCCCCACCCAACCCTCTTCTTTCTTCCATTTTTTTCTCCCCTTCCGACCCGTTGCTTTCTTCCTTTTATTTTTTTCTCCCCACCTGACCCTCCCCTGCATCTTCTTTCTCTTTGTTTCTTCTTGCATCTTCTTTCTCTTTCTCTTTTTTCCTTCCTTTACTTTCTTTGAAATGAAAAAACTGTAAGCAAAGTTCTAGAGCATAAACCAATTTTCAAATTAAAAAAAAAAAATTAGGTTTTACCAAAAAACAGAACCGAGCCGAAAAAAAACAGAACCGAATAAAAACCAAAAAAAAAAATTTGAACCGAACCGAACCAAAATTTTGGTTTGGTTTCGGTTTTGGCCAAAAACCAAACCCACCCCTACCTGTAACCGTTTCCACGGAAAAACCACCTCAATATCTTCTTTTTTTGTCAAACAACATATTTAGTTAAATTTGATGTTAGATTAGTCAACAACGGAGTTTAAACCCTTGTCGTCATGTAAATGCTCAACTTCTTTGTACTATTGTGGTAAGAGGCCACTTGCGAGGAACCACCTCAATATCGACACCAAAAGACAGATGTCGTAGCTACTCTTAGACTCGACATTGAGGTTGAAATTACCTATTTTGAAACCCGTCCACCTTCGACTTTTGGTGCAGTGCTCATCTTGCTGGTTATTTTTGCTTTCATCCCAACCCTAAATCCTAGACCGAAAGAATTTTCCGGTAACCTGAACCGGCTATGGCAATGTATGGCTGGGGAATAGTACGCCCCAAGATTGGGAAGGGGGAAAGGAATAGAAATATGAATGGATGGGGAATCCTCCTATGTGCTTGACAAACGCAAAAGTACCAGTGGGAAAGTATGGAAGCCCCGAGCATATGCAACCGTATCAACCTTTTGAAGATAGTTTAGCATCATCTCACCGACGAGTTCAGAAGATAGACTGGTGAATCAGCCAACCCCTCTACCTACTGATGAGTCCGTGATCAAATGCCCCTTTCCTATGTCATCAATCAACGAATCTGAGTAACTGATCTCAACATACTTTTTTTTCTCCGCATGCACATTCAATGTTTATTTTTAATTGTTAGATTGAATAAAGCAAAAACATGAATCAGACATCTAATTGTTATTTCTAATAGGTAGATTCATTTGAGTAAAGAAAATCGACGAACAAAAATAAACGGGTGAGTAAAAAGAGAAAGAGGGGTATTCTACAAATTCATTTTCCGACACTGATGCTAACGATTAATACATTGGGGAGGAAACCCAAAAAAAAAAAAAAAAAACAACAGATCGCCCACTGAGGCTCGAACCCACGGCAACAAGGTAATAAACGTTGCGCTCAGAGCTGGACGAGCTTGTACCTAATGTCGTACATTCATTTAATTTTTCTATAAATGACACGGTCATGTTGCAAAATCCCTGGGTTCTTAGTCTGGCGCCAAAATGTAACGGCTTTCTCGATCAGTGTTGCTGTTGTTAATCCGTTGCAAATCCCTTTTCACTCTTTATAACTACCAACTACTCTCTCTCCATTTTCCCAAACAGCTACCAAGAAACCTAAGAATTGTAGAAATCCCAAGACCCAATTTCTCCGCCGCCCACCATGAACCACAACCACCACCCCCGGCAGATTGCATCGAACAACCCAGAACGGGATTTTTCTCTCCCGCCGTCTGCGTCCACCGCCGACAACGCATTTAAGATCTCTGTACCTGCCCTCTCCCTGTGGCGGTTCTTTGCCCAACATGACTACTCCCTACTCTCCTGACCGCTACCACTTTTCCAAGAGTCAGTCCCATTCCCCGGCACGGGTCCTGCCTCCTCTTCCTCCACCGCACACTCTCCGCCGCTCCGTCTCGGATCTCAACCACTCTCCGGCCAAGACCTCGTCCCGCTCCTCCACCTCCTCCCAAGACTTCCACTTCTCCACCGACTTGGACACCCCCGATTCTAAGGTAATACCAAATAATTTATCCTCCAACTTTTTGAAAACCCATTTGATTCCCTCGTTTTGGATTGATGAAGGGTGTGGTTATATATCTGCTTTTGGATTGTTTGAAATGGGAAAATTGTTAATTTGTTTCGAAAAACCAATTAACAATTTTCCCATTTCAAACAATCCAAAAGCAGATATATAACCACACCCTTCATCAATCCAAAACGAGGGAATCAAATGGGTTTTCAAAAAGTTGGAGGATAAATTATTTGGTATTACCTTAGAATCGGGGGTGTCCAAGTCGGTGGAGAAGTGCAAAATCATTCCAGGGGCTGAGCGGGATGAACCACCACCAAGATTCTTCTCTCCCGCCGTCTGCGTCCACCGCCGACAACCTATTTGAGATCTCTGTAACTGCCTCTCCCTGTGGCGGTTCTTTGCCCAACATGACTACTCCCTACTCTCCTGACCGCTACCACTTTTCCAAGAGTCAGTCCCATTCCCCGGCACGGGTCCTGCCTCCTCTTCCTCCACCGCACACTCTCCGCCGCTCCGTCTCGGATCTCAACCACTCTCCGGCCAAGACCTCGTCCCGCTCCTCCACCTCCTTCCAAGACTTCCACTTCTCCACCGACTTGGACACCCCCGATTCTAAGGTAATACCAAATAATTTATCCTCCAACTTTTCGAAAACCCATTTGTTTCCCTCGTTTTCGATTGATGAAAGATGTGGTTACATCTCTGCTTTTGGATTGTTTGAAATGGGAAAATTGTTAATTTGCATGAAGTTTGATTCTTTCTCCCTGTTTCGATTGTTTTTGAAATTGGTTTTTGGGCAAAATCATTCCAGGGGCTGAGCAGGATGAAGGACCGCTTGAGAGAGACTTGCAAGATCCCTCCTCTCTGCCGCACGGTCTCGGATGTCTACGCCTGTGCAAACTCTGAAGAAGAGTCTGCTTTCCCTGAAACTGTCTACCGCAAGATCCCTCCTCTCCGCCGCTGCTTCTCGGAACCGTACAAGCTTCCGTCCGCCACGACTGACCAGCCATTTGGTTCAACGCCCAACCCGAATCGCTTCCAGCCAGCACCGGTTGTCCCTGTCAGAGCAGCACCGGTTGTCCCTGCCACAGCCACTGCAGACCCTACATTTCTGCTGTCCCTTATGGCCTTGTACATGGCATTAAGCATCTATCCACAGAACATGACGAGGCTTGTTTTGTATGCGACTGTGGCTGACGTATGTTCGGGAATTTTAATTTGTATGGGAATGGAGGCTACGTTTTATGTCTTAATAAACTGGGTGGCTGACAAACCGTACCCGCTTCTTTCATGGCTGGCCTTGATAGGCGGAAAGATCCTATTTTGGATTTCAGAGTACAGAAACCTACCATTCGTAGTTTATGTTCCAGTTGTTATGGTCATGAATACTTTCCTACTGGCATCGTTGGTAGCAAAAATAACCTGGAACGTCGGCTGGGGCGTTGCTTATCAATTTGTGCTGGATAATCTCGGTATTGTGAAGCTGCTGCTCTGAGTGTGGAGAAGGAGGACTGCTTGGTCATTCACTTTAGGTGTCACCGTGATAAAGCCTGATTGGTGTCAGTTTTACAAATCATCTGGTTTTTACTTTTACTGCTGTTCATTGTAATGAAGTAGAATATGTGGAATATTGTGATAAAGAAGGATGACTGATTGGTGTTACTTCAGGACTGCTTGGTCATTCACTTCAGGTGTCACTGTGACAAAGCCTATCAGTTCGTTCTCAGTGGAGGCGACTGCTACTACAAGCTCATGTAGATATCCATCTCTATTATCCAACCCACTGGAAAATACTGAGCACTCTAAATTCTCGGGTTTGGATTTTTCATACATTTTCATGATACTTAACTCAGTCACACTGATCTACTTCTTAGGTTGTTTAAATCTTCGGCTTAGATCGTACCCTTTTCATAGATTCATTTTGGATGAAGTACTCAGTGCCCTGATTGGTGTCAGTTTTACAAATCATCTGGTTTTTCCTTTTACTTCTTCTTTGCATTGTAATGAAGTAGAATATGTGGAATATTGCATGAATCGCGAAGGCGAAAAGATATATGGAATGTACTTTGTTGCAATTCTTGTTCGGAAGCAAATGAACAAAATTTCCTGATTCTCTTGTGAATGAATACATAAACCTTATTCTTCAAAGTTCATGAAATTTTGCATCGGTAACAGTTTCTTGCTGAATTCAGTCACTTGTGCATCTCCCAATCCTTCGATTGCATCTGGTCATTCGATTGTTTAGAATTCTGCATGCATACTAAGATTGTCATAGCTGCTTTTTTGTTAAGCTCATAAGCATATAACATAAGTTGAATGAAATCACACGGAAAACAAGTTGTTCCTTGTTCTGTGAGTAGAAGTTGTCAAATGATTTTTTATTTTATTTTATTTTTTTTGTTTCTTGTTTTTGTATGTGAGCTTTTATGCTCGTTCTATTAATATGTGGTGGAAAAGACGGCTCCAAATTAATCGTTGTGAAAAAAGCAACGGAGATATCTCCCTATAAAAATTAGTCCTCTGTCACATACACACATATTTTGGGGGAAGGATTTGTGGTGCCCTATGGTTGAGTGTCCTGCACACTTTGAGTGCTTGCTATTGTAATTTGTGGTGCCATATGTCTCTGCTAACTCATAACTGCACAGATACCTTAGTGACTAGGACGTTACTGATTGTGCAATGATAGGGAGAACTGGAAAACTGATATAGTATTTTAACTTCTCTCTGGATTCGGATAGGATGGTATGAATTTCAGTTATAATAACGAATTTCAATCTCAGCAATCTCATTCTTAAGTTGTTTTATTCCTCGTCTTACATCGTATCCTTTTTGACATAAAACTCAGCCACACCGATCTATTTCTTTTCATGATACTAAACTCAGCCACACCGACCTAATTCTTAGGTTGTTAAAATATTCGGCTTAGATAGTACCCTTTTCATAGTTTCTTTTTGGATGAATACTCATGGCACTGATTGGTGCGAATTGTACAAATCATCTGGTTTAACTAGATTAGACAATTATTTGGATGCACCCTTATTTTTCCTTTCACTTCTCGTTTTCATTGTAATAAAGTGGAATATGTGGAATAATGCATGAATTGCAAAGGCGAAAAGATATATGGAATATACTTTGTTGCACTTCTTGTTTGGAAGCAAATGAATAAATTTTCCCCATTCTTTTGAATGAATATATACATGGTCCTAATTCTTCTGATGTCATGAAATTTTGCATGTCAGTAACATTTTCTTGCTGATTTCAGTCACTTGTGCCCCTCCCAATCCTTCAATTGCATCTAGACATTGGATTGTTTAAGTGATGGGTAAATAAGGAATTGGGGTTGAAAGGTGGTCGCTGGCGACGACGGCGTGAGTGGTGTTTGTCTGGGTTGGCTTGGCTGAGTGGGGTGGGTTTGTATTTGTTTTTGTTTTTGTTTAATCAGTATTTTAAATTACTTTTAAAAATTGAAAAAGTATTTAATAAAGAAGTTAACTATGATTAGGGAATGAGACAGATGGCAGACATATAAGTGTATGGTGAGCATACACCAATGTTAATGTGGGTGAGCAAAAATGCACCCATACATCAGATGCACATACCTTTTCGTGTTATGAATTTGGATTTGATTTGTTTAATTTAGTGATAATCCCATAAAGTCAGTGAGAGGCAAACTTAGAAAATCGATAATGGTCTTGCTACACTTAATTATTCTTGAGTCAAGGTTACTCAAAAATTGTTTTATGTTTACTAGTAACGATGTTAAAGTTGGTACTTATGTGATCCAATAAGTTAGCTTTTATTGGTGAGTTAAATGGCAAAGTAACAATCACACTAGAAAATAAAGTTACAAAAGAATGTGAGGTATGTTTGTCTGGTAAAAGTTCGATCCGTTTCAGTAAAATGTTTATGTTTCATATTTGTTTTCTCATTTTGCTTCACATGACGTGAAATTGAAGCCTTCAATAAGAATAAATTTCTTTTACATATTTATAAATAAATAAATTTTAAATTTGTTACCTGCAAGATTAAAAATAAAACATTTCATTTCTAATTTTGAAAGAGTATCATTGAAGAAAGAAAAACTTTTACACATCCCATAGTGCATATGTGAGTAGGATTCTCTCGCCTCCTATTACCATCCCCTCCTCTCACACTCTTCTTTTTGTCATATTCTCTATATAAAAAATTCAAAACAAGATATAGACGTGGCGTAATCGTAACCGTTTAAATAGAAGGGGATGGAAGGAGAGAGAGATTAGGAAGGGAGAGAAACCTCTCTTTTGCATATGCTGCCAAATAAAATGCACCTGATTAGGAACCCCATGCGCTTGTTCCTCTAGTTGACCTTACACACGGATCTTGCCGACGTCGTGAAGTATACGATCCAACACCTCATCTGCAGTTCCAAATCCCAATCAATGCTTTAGACTCAGATCCGCTGCGTTTGGGACATAAATTGACTCCAAACAAGGAACCAGATTCCTTCCGGATCCATATATACTGAGCATGTTGAGCAGGCGATCAGGACCGTTGAAATTTGATACAACGGTTACAATTATTATAACTTTTAAAGGTCCCCTTGCTTGTAGCCATTGGATTAAATTTTAACGGCCCCATCGCATGTTCAGCAAGCGCAATTTTATTGGATGTGGAAGGGATTCGGTTCCTCCAAACAAATCTCCATGTGAGACCCACCCCACCCTCACCAATCCCATCTTCATCCCTGTTTCATTGGACTCACTCAGCGTTTATAAGCGCGTGTGCAGTTGAACATCCATCCCTGTATTAGAGAAACACTTGCATAAAATCAGAACGTTAAAATAGTAGTATTTTAATCATACTCTACAATGTCAGGATTTACTTTTCTATATAGGCTTGTATGGTTGTTATAAGATATTGTCATTTAGCGACTCATTTTTATGTATATCATTCTCTTTAAAACAAATGTTCAATAAAGAAGCCTACGTCCAACCATACCCTTAGCACTTATCAATCAACACAAAATTAGGCATACTTTTATTAAGGATGAATCTCGGAGTTCGATTCTCATTACTCCCTCGCCCTAAATATAGATATGTCATTGATAATATTTTGGTTCAAGAGCTGCAACTAAAGAGGGCAAGGAAGTGTCGGGAGGAAATCAAATCACTAACTTGTCAAACACATAATTACCAAAGATATTTGCAGCTGTTAGTTCTAGGGCTGGGCACCAAATTTGAAGGAACCGGTTTGGAATCGATTAAAAATGAAACGAGGCAAGCCGAGTCGGGTTTTGAGATTTCTAAATTTGAAACTGGACCTTACCCAGCCTGTATGAAACGGGCCAATTCGGGCCTAGTCCACGGGTCCAATTATAATATTTTTTTTTTTTTTTTTTTGTCGGCATAGGTGGGATGACCTCGTTGAGGTCGTCTTCCTCATCATAGTTTTGTTTGCAGGAAGGATATGCTCTGCCGCATATGAGCTCATTTGCTGACCAGTATATGCTACTAGATCTCCAACTTGCCTGCCTATTTAGTCTTATTCCCATAGCTGTCACGACTCCACAAACCTTCCTGCAATCAGTTTTGATTTCATTTAAAAATAAATAGGGCAAATCCATTTCTACTATTCAAGAAAGTGATGGGGTGATGTTGGTAGCGATGACGGTGCTGTCATCGAGGAATTGAGATGAGTGGTGCTGTCGAGGAATCGAGATGGTTGGTGCCGTCGATGATGATGATGATTGGTTAACCAGAGATCTAGATGCCGATGATGGGGTGGTGGTGGTCGTTGCGGCGGAGATGGGGTGACGATAACGGATCGATGGTCTAAGTTTCGATGATGTCGTATAGGGAGACAGAGGATTGGGATAGATGAGTGTAGTGTGGGACTCGGGAAGGGAGGGACTGAGGGACTAGGTTAGAGAGAAACAATCTCATCCTAACAATTGATATTGGATAATTGTTAATCATTCAATCTTATTGATTACATTTTAAATTGGCCGGTCCGGGGGCCCCCCCCTCCCCCCAAAAAAACAAAAAATTAATGCCCCGCCCCACCCCAAACCTTGATTACCCGTCCCAATCCACGGGTTCTCTACCCGTTTGCCCACCCCTAGTTAGTTCTTTCTCGGGACAAACGTAAGAATAGCTGAATAAACAAAAGAGGGACGCCGTTAAAAAAAAAAAAAAAAAAAAAAAAAAAAAAACCAAGAAAAAGATTAAAAGGAGATGATCCACAAAGGCACAACAAATCTTCCTGACTAGCAACCTTGCCCGTTGAGAAACAATATTTGAATAAATATTTACAACAAACACAAAGCAACACACTTGATGCCTTTTAAAAGAATTCCTAACTAAGCCAATCGCACACCATATCTACAACGTCTGTTGGGGTATGCTAAGAATTATGAGCACTATTTGGAAATTTACATTTTGTACAGAACTACCAGATGGTCTTGTTCTGATGGAAAGAATCCGGCAAATAGTTCCAGTAACTGTACACCTGCAACCATTAAGACTGCACGTAACTACCTTGTAAATCAAGCCACATTTATGAAAAAGGGAAATCGTATAGACAACAGATTATCTGTCCAGGTTCATGCTGAGTTAAAGATATGTTGTCCATAACAATAGGTGCCTCGGCAGCTAATAGCTACAGACAATATTTCTAATATAGCAGTTTCTCTGTTTCCCGTTGTCTAACAAAGGCGATCGGAAATTATAGTTATAAAGGCTTAGTCATGAGCAACTGACATCATTATTTTTCATAATTAACACCCGATTTGAGAGACACAAAAACACACAATCACACAAACGTGTATTGCAAAAACTTTATTTAACATGGACAGAAAGTTCAACTCACACGATACATATGTTATAATGCAAGAACAGATGGCGCGTTACCAATCTCCTCTTCTCCAGGAATACAGGAAGTTCAAGATTTCAGTCGTGCGTTTAATCACCTAAAGTAATAAAAGAACAACAAACAAAAAGTAAGCTACCAATCTGGGATGTACAATGTGATGGATATGCAATAAATATTCCGCTGAAAGATAGCAGTATTAATCAGAATTTATTCATTCGAACCATTAGTTTTGTTCCCATGGTTGAGGGGGACCCAGATATTTCTCAATGGACTCTTTCTTACGCTCAGGATCAAGGCTGCACACACAAGCACCACAGTAAATATGTTTTAGAAATCAATGTGTCAAATATATTTTTGAAATATTCTTTATTGTCATAATAAACAAAACAAAATAAAAAATGCAAGACTGACCTATTTCTGAAGCCAAGAAGAGCACAGTGCACAGCACTAGCACAAGCAGAAGCAGGAGTTATAGCAGCTGCAGGAACTGCCCGAGCAGCAGTGGCCAAAGCTGGTCCTGCACCAGCTCCACGCTGGTATTTTTTCAAAGGAGTCCGTATCAAGGCAGAAGCAGATTTCCCCAGGCCATCACTAAGGCTTTCATAAGCCTATCAAAGAAAGACAAATAACTTGTTTTCAGGATCATTTTCTTTTTAGCCAACAGAACAGCTCTGGGTTGAAATTTCAAATTTTGAAAGAACTAATTTTTTAGTTCCCCGCAGTATTGGGAATTTAGGACAACTATTTCCAAATATTTGCAAGCAACTTCCAAGGTTGAAAATTTCACCTGATGAATTCCTTGTTGAGCATCTATAGGTTGATTAGATCGAACGTTGGTTTTCATTTTATGTGGTACAGACCAATGCGCAGAAGGAATGCCTGTAAGTAAATATTCCGCTTGGAGCAAAATATCATATGCCCCGGCGGCCAAATGTACTCCAAGTCCAACAGCTTCAAGAGAAATACTTCTAAGAAATGCAATTGTACCTGGTAGCAAGTAGCCCCATCACGGATACCAAAAATTATTTAATTATTGACAATGTACCAATGACAAGTGACGACATGCCTTTATATACTGTTGAATAACCAGAAAGTACTCATTTATCTAAACTCAGTTAATTGACACTGAAGTTAGATATAACCTTGAGTCAACGATCAAAATTAAGAGCTACATATTGTTTCTTTTTTTTTTTTTAAATACTTCAACTAAAACGCAAACGCCCAAAACTGACATGCACAGGTTACAGAAGGAAAACATTTGAATGCACTCAACTTACCTCTTTGCATTCCCTTAAGTAGTTTTTTGTCCTTCCTGTAACTCTCAATTGGCAAAGAAACCAACTTCCTTGCACCAGCACTAACTGCTACAAACGACCGAATTGTTGGAAGACCTCTCAATATTTTATGAATCTACATTATTAAAGAAAACTCGTTATAAATCCACTAGCATTTGAAGGGGGGAAGAACTCCAAAACAGTAAGGGTAAAGCAACTAAAACCTGATTTTGAGAAATCTCTTCTAGCCACTCTCCTATAATTGTCTCACATACACTGCCCCATCCATAGATACCAACAGCATGAACATGCTTAAGCTGTAGCTCAATGCCCTGAATTTATTTGTGAAAGTATGGCCAATAAGTTCCTCGGTAAATTTCAATAAGAGAAAATTTAAACGCATGCAATGGAACGCACAGATCAGATAATTAGATATCAGGGTTTGGACTACTAAACTCGCTAGCACAAGTAGAATTTAGTTTCTATTACAACAAGATTTTGAAAGAGAAGCATAATAAGGATGAACAATACCACCGAGTAACAAAAGAAAAATAAAAATGGCTTACACATTAAATAAACATCGCACTTCTTTGAAGTTTTTTTAAAGTTATGTCCCACTTCGTTAAGTTTTTAAAGTTAGAAAAACATGTATCTGCCTGTGTGTGTGCATGTGGTATATGCATTTATATCGAGTGGGCTTATTGAAACCTTTCTGTTTATTCACTCCAGAATTTCAGACCTGCAGTATATGGTAATACATAAATTTTCCAAGATTTTTTATAAAAGAAAATGAAAACTAAAACTCCAACTTCTTGAACTCAAGTTAACAGATAGGACAATAAGAAGCATAAACCTAAAGACAAAAACGATAAGACTCATTAAATTTTTTGGATAAATGGCTAAACTTCGCATACTGGATAGGAAAAATGAAAAAGTTGGAAGACTAATGCCAAACAAACACAAGCAGCAGAATCATGGAGTCATGGAGTCATGGTTTACATGGAAGAACAAAAAAATATCATGGGAAGCAATACCAGGAGCAAAGCATAGTATCCTTCATGTGTCTTTTCACAATCAGATATATGATGACAAATAAGTATCAAGTATAGCCTTTTTATACCCTTGTACAAAACCTCATAATGTTCAATATAAGAAGCAAAGTATTCACCTTCCATGGAACAAGATTTACAAGTTCAACATACTTCCCGCCTCTTAATGCTGCCAGATCAACACGGCTGGGACTGTAGTCAACCCGAACTAGAATAGGCCATATATCGAACTTCTGAAGGGGAAAAACGAAAATGTAAGCAGTTGGAACATGTATTCTCACATTATCGTTTAGAAAAATCACAAAGCATAAATTCTAAAAATAAAATAAATTATGTAATCGCAAATTGAAAATTGACATAATCAGAGCAACCTAGAATTGCATAGGTAGCAAAGACAACAAATTGGATGTCAGCTGCTTTGCTATGCTCATGTGTAATAAGGAACCATCAACTAATCAGTGTCAATCTACTCACAGCCTATACCACTCTTTCGTTTGTATTTCACTAGTTTCCCATTCCCTTTTTTTTTTCCCTCTTGAAGAGAGGATATAATCATTATAATGGGGATTGGCTTTGAACATGCCCTGAGGTAATACATGTTTGAGGACCTCAGCAGTCTCAAAAAAGGAAGCATGCAAATGACCCATTTTACTGGGAAAAGGCTTAATGAAGCAAGACTGATATTTCCCAAGCAAACACACATAAAGTTGTAACTAGGTTGAAAGCTAAAACTCAAAGCACACCAGTGAGGACAAGGAAACAACTTGCCTGAAAATAAGGAAGAAATGCCTCCTCTTCAATGGTATGCCCTGCAAGATCATTACTTTTTACCGGCAAGACTTTTGAACCATCAGCATCATGATGACCACCCGGAGAATGATCAGTTGAAGAGCTCTTTGCCGCAAAGAAGTTAATGAGAAAATCAAGTTGGGACTGATGAAGATGCAATAGCATGGGAAGGAGTGCAACACGTAACCTACAAGGAAATAATATAAGAACCAAGACTCGAATAATACTGTTAAATCACCATCATTCCTAAGCAGATTTGTACAACCAACTTAACCGTACACTAATTATAATATAAAGCAGAAGGAATACCGATACTCTTCAAGAGGAGTTAAAGGATCTGGTCTGACAGATTCTAAGTCCAGCTTGAATGCTTTCGAAGATGATTTTCGAGGTCGGTCCTTTGAATGATAATATCCAAGTACCTTCCAAACAAAAAAGATAAATAATTAATCAACTCTGTAAAGCACAAAAAGTAAAATTTTCGTGTGAAAGCATAGCAGGTTTACCAGTTTCCAAGGAGCCTCTTTGCTGCTGTCATATAGACAAAAATCTTGAACTGAAAGAGAGAGCTTAGATACACAGATTCCACCGACGGGAAAAATGTCATACTGAAACTCCATTCCGGATAGTGCAAGCTCTAAACATACAGTAGCATCCCTTCCGCTAAAATCCACTGATCGCTGACCAGTTGATCTAGAATCGTGCCAGTCTGACCCAGAAAGCATTCTCCACCTAACATCAATGTTCTTAAGAAGTACACGTCCAATGGCTTTTCCAAAATCATTGCACTTTATACCTTCAGTAAAAGGAAGATTGTCTTCGGCAGATTGTTTCACACTATTTTCACATGCTTCAGGAATGTGGTTTTCTAAAATGCTAATGGAAGTACCATACCATCCATTACTATCTCCTCCAACATCTCCATTTATGAAATTCTTGGATTTGCATTTTAGAATCTCATTCGATGACTGTCTGTTGGCAGATAATTCCGAGAGAGGCCGTAAATCAGACAAACAATACCCTTCTATTAACTCCAGAACATTACCTTCTTGCAGAAATGATGTTTGACTACTTTCCAACTCTGCTTCAGGCACTGACCCATTATAAGGTGCACCAAGTGAAAGAATATCAGGAGTTGCAATGCTGGAATAATGAGCCTCTCCAAGGTCTTGATCAAATGAGATACCAATTTGCGACTCAGAATGGCAGGTCTGATTCTTATCCGAAAGAAATGCATCATCACATATCTCATCCATTAACCCAACCAACTGAGTTTCACTCTCTGTAACTGCACCAGAAGTGTGCAATTGAGAAGTTGCTTGTAAAGGATCACTACCACAGTTCCTTGCTTCATCATGAAAACCTCTGCTCTCTTGTTCCTGCTGTACCTTATTCCATCTAGTCTGCAAATGCACGACTGATTCCTCCATGTCAGGGGCAAATAGCTGTTGAAGTTGGGCAGCTAAACGAAACAGACTGGACATGGTGTCATGGCAAGTTTCCACATAGATGTGAGATTTTGAACATTCTACCTCCCAGAGAAGGCCACTATTACAATTAGTTCTCAAAGTTGCTTCTACCAGTGCCTCCCTGGCAACTTTAACATACCCAATCTTGTGAAGATGTACTGCACTATAAATGCCACCAACATCCTCAGGCTTTGACATTAAACAGAGGAGAAGTCCAAGATCTTGCACTCTTATTCTGTAATCATTTTCTACTGAGCCTGCCCTGGTTGAGTTTGAAAGATTCAAGGAAGATGCAGCCAAAAGACAAGAAACATGTTCCTCACCCGTCTCTTCCTTGAAAGATGAAGAATTAGGCTCAGAATCTGAAGCTTCACGCCTGACCACCACATTCTTGAGGTAGGGCTCATAACTTAATCCAATATCAACCAAGTTAAGAACAAAGGAAGATCTGCGAGGTGCACTAAATTCATCCTTTTTGTTACACTGTTCCGCTTCATTTTCACAAGGAATAATGAAAAAAGAGCATAGTGCATCTGCCCAATCCAAGCGACCACCTAATGCAACTATTGTGGCACATCTGACAGTTACAGACGTAGAACCATGAAAACTTTTGGGATCCCACAAATGTACAATATCAGAACCAGCTAGCCTGGAGGATAATGCATTAGAGCCCCCTCCATCACCGCGTTTCATTGTTGAGTTGCTGCACGCAATCAGAAGAAACTCCTGATCAGGAATACCAGTTATGTAACCCCACAATTTACCTTCACCATGGGCCAGCCAGAAAAAATCGGCACCTGATACACCTCCAATATTGGAGACAGACAGCACATCTAGCTTCTGAATTTTCAGTTTCAGCTGATGCCACGACCCAGGAAGTTCACTCTGTATTGAGCTTTTGACAATCTCCTTCACATCCAGGCTAATCAAAATTTCAACAGAATCACATCTAACAAGGATAGATGTCTGGGATGCGGAAGATGCTTCCTTAAAATTGACTGAATCACAGTCCGAGTTTAAGTCATTTAACATTTGATCTAATAGACAATATAAACCTTTATATTGAGAATAGTCCAAATTTATTGAAACAGAGGGTAGACAAACATGTAGGGAAAACGAGGAGCTCAAGATAATCTCCTGTTGAGTTTGAGAATTCAAATCTTGCAGATCTTTAATAGTAGATACTGAAGCAAATTCATGATCTTTGCCGACAAATTTAGAAATGCTCCTTGATTCCTCAAAACCAGCTAAGCACTTGGCTTTCTTTGCTATCCAAGGGCCAGTCACATAACCCTCCTGCCAAAGCATACTAATAACAGATAGACGGCCCGTACTGTTGCTGGCGGACATTATTTTTTTTGCAGCAAATGTATGCCTCTGCTTGTTTCCAGAGCTGATCCCAGCATTATCCTTACTTGCAGGACTGACGAGGAAAATGTCCAGATTACCAACATTCAAATGTAAAGAACGTGTGGCTGTTGAAAAATACATTTTCTCTGACCTTGCATCTAAAGTTGGGCCATGGTCTTGAACACCTTTGTTAAAATTTGATGGCGAAGAAAACTCAAGAGCAATAAACTGATCCCAGGAAGAGAAGCCTCTAACATCTTTACCACCTTTGTCATGAAAACAGAGAATTATCCTTGCATTAGGAATCAATATATCACCTCGCTGAGTTTCTGTTGAAGACAAGGTCTTAACACGACTAGAAGATCTTCTAAGATCCCCATGAGATGATCCATGCTTCTTATTAGAGGACTCAGAAGAAAACTCAGTCTGATTACCATTCGCTTTGACAGGCTTTCCCACTTCATTAGACAGTTCTAATAGCATATTTAGCAAAGAGAAGTCCACCCAAAAAACAAAATGTGGCAGTTTCAGTGAAAATGATGTCCCGCATAAACTCCCATTTGAAGTACTAGAACTCACAGTAAACTGACAGTGAGTAACACCTGAAGTTTTAAGTAAAGTAGTTCTGACTACATCCTTATACCCAAATGGAACCTCTACAACTGTATCTTCAAAAGATGAGGGAAGCAGTGGAAGAACACTTTGAACATCAGCTTGAAGATGTTGAACCAAAAGAGTATGGCTGTTAATATTGGTATTAGACCTTTGAAAGCCAAACTCAGAGGTATCTTCTTCGTAACTTGAGTAATTAGCAACCTCGATATACTCCATTGTTCCTTTGAACCTTATCTCTTGGGGGCATACCTGCGGACCTTATCAGATGTTTCAAGTTAGTGTTGCTGACAATCACGTAGAACCAAATAACAGGTATAAATCATAGACATCAAACTCAAAATCTAAATGTACCCCAAGCACAGGTATTACCTGCGTAACAAGAAGGATGTCTCGGCATTCTGCACCTAGGTACAGAACATCTGAATCAACCACCTTATTATCACAAAAATGCTTCTGCTTTTCATCTTGAAATGAAAAGACAACAGAAATCCCAGCTAAAGCTGCTTTAAGATTTGTTTCAACATGCTGCTGCTCTGTAGACAGATTAAAATAAAAAATTCCAGTGTCAAATGTCTAGAAGGAAATAAAGATGCACAGTATGAAATATTTACTAGCATATCAGAGACCGTAACATCTAAAGACTCTACAAATCAAGAGCTTGTACATCTCCAGAAGATAAACTATATTTCTCATATTTTTTAACTTTCTTCCATGCTCATCCCAAATGGAAATGTAAGATATCCTATATCTAAAAGCAATTAAGACATACAGTCTATTTTAGGCAAAGTTTCAAACTGAGTTCAACAACCTGGGTACAACAACTTGACACCACAAATATTCCTGACATTTCAATGATTATTGATTCAGTTTTTTATATAATAATTTACCCAAAATAGTTTAAAATAGATATGCAATGAAGTAATTTACTTTAAAACTTCTAGGTTGATAGGGTTCATATTGCACTCACCAGGTGGAACATGCAAAGATCCGGAAGCAAGGCTCGATGCAGCTGTGATAGCAGTGAAAACAGAACACGTCCAGTTCCACATGCCACTGTTACCTAATGCTGATTGGGAACTTCTCATTCCATCAAAACATTCAAAAAACTGATCCACACTGCAAAAAGACCAAAAAGTGACAATGAGAATACGAGATGCAGACAAATAAGATGTATAAAGTTTGTAACATGAAATGTTACGTTCAGCAATACTCAATGTGACAACAAAATACTCAATATTAATGAACTAAACAACCCTAGATGTCTCTGAAAGTTATGTCAACTGCGGTTCCTTGATAAAAACACTGATAGCAAAACAGAATGACACTAACCTTGCACCAAAATCAAGTTCTTCAATACCATCTTTTTTATTTTGATGGATGAAAAAGGGTACCCAATCTAATATAAGATGTGACCCAGGCAGCAGAGGTTCAGCCACTGATTCTTGCAGGGTAAAAGAAGATGATTCAGTCGGAAAACTACCACAACTTGGCCTCACCTTATCTGTTGTCGAACAAACAGACCTTGGTGAAATACAGTGAGATGTTGAATCAAGATAAACAGAATCCGCTGGCTTATGATTGCTCTTGTCTTTCACCAGATTTTTGTATTTTTCCCAAGCAAGTAAACTCCATTTAGTTGTGCTGGGCTGAAATCTTAATTCTAAAGGTTCAATAGAAACATCTGCATCTACTTTACGAATGTCTAAAGACCCATTCTTCCAAGGTATGCTTAATTTTATATTCCCTGAAAATCCCCCTCTTTTTCCAACCAATATTGGAGTGGTGGCACCCGGTGGACGGCACCCTGGAAAAAATTCGCCAAATGTTCTTTCTGACTGGCATGGACTGCATGTTTGATTGTCAGCATCATTCATTTGAAGCAGCTCAAGCGATGCTCCTTGAAACTTGACAAAGTTGGTCAATTGACTAATCCCAAGAAAGTTGTCAAATCTTGCATCAGAATTTTGACTATCATCTTCAGAAACACATGTTCCACATTCTGTTTCTAAAATTCGAAGCACTAAGGTTGAGGAACACCCTAATGTCTTTCCATTCTTCTCTAAACAAGGATCAAATGCAACAATCAACCTTTTTATCGTTACGTGGAAGCTCGTGAGAAACCACTTTACCATCTTTGCAATTGTTTTAACACCTTCATGCACATCCCTGGAAGCAGATTTTGCAGCATCGTCTGCCATGTCACCATCTAACGTCCCTGGGTTGGCATCCTTATCCAGGTTGCAACTTTCGGCACTAGCTGGTGTGTTATTCTCTGCGCACAGATTTAACACCAGCTCCAGTTCATCCACTTCAACCTCACAACCTTTGCCCTTCCAAGGCATTCTAACTAATAGGGAGCCAATAGATCCTTCTTTTATTATCACCGATGCTGCTGCACCGAACTGTGGGGAAAAAAAGTTGGCCATAAGACACAATTAAACATTAACAATTTCATGTATAAACTTAAGACGCAGTTAACAAAAGTACAAAAGCTCTCTAAAATCCACCAAAACTTAATATGCAAGTTACCCCAGTTATTGAAAACTCACATAACATCCAGTTAAGAAAAGCAGTATTCATATTCTTATCATTATAACATGAATTCTGAATATTTCAAAACCACAGCTTTGCGTCGAATCATTTGAAAACTCACAAAATCCTTAAACAATTTTCAAACCGAGACTATATCGAAAACTCACATAACATCCAGCTAACAAAAACAGTATTCATATTCCTATCATTATAACTGAATTCTGGATATTTCAAAACCACAGCTTCGTACCGAATTATTTTAAAACTCACAAAATCCCTAAACAATTTTCAAACCAAGACTAACGAATTCGGGTTTCAAACTTCAGCCACCTCAAGTGGGGCAAAATTCATATTTACAGAAAGAAATAAAATGGTACCATAGTTGTATTTTTCTTTTATTTTCTCGGCATCCAAACACGAGTTAATACCAAAACCAAACGCAGAAAAACGTGCGTACGTACATTCTGATTAAGAAAATCGACGTTAAGCGCGAGGTCGTTGAGCTGAATGGTGCCCTCGGAGAGCTGGACATCGAGCTGGTCGGCGTCGATGTCACCCAATATGAACTGCCCCAACTTCTTCTTCAACAGGAACTTGCATACTCTCTTCACGGCCCACCGCGAGAACATCGCCTCCGCCGACTTCGCGATGTTCCACGGAAACATGGCCGCCGACTACGAACACGACGACAGCAGCAGGGGCGGACGAATTCGGAATTGAGAAGAATTTGTGGAATTAGGGTTCGGGGAGGGGAATTTAGAAGGGTGAAACGGCGCGTTTGGAATTAGGGCGGCTGGTAGGTCGAAGTCGAACCCTCATGATTTTTCACAAGAATATTGGCATATTGCTTTTGAGTTTTGATTTTGATGAGGTGTAAGAACGACAGTGACGGTGACCAAATTTTTGTTCTTTCTTTTTTTTTATTATTTTTTCAATTTTCTGGTCTCTCACGGCTCGTAATTTCCGGGAATATATAAATTGAGGCTTAATTGGATTAATGGTTCAATGTGGTATTTGAGTTCATGTGATGAAGTTTGTTAGGATTTAGGCCCAACATTAAAATTTCGTCAACTCCCTTTGTTAGCACATGAGACACACATGTGAAAAGATAAAGTTAATCTCACATATAAGCTTTATGTGCTAACAATTACCAGAGAGTGCTCCATGTGCTAACAATTAGCAAAAAGTTTCGTTTTAGTCTAATATGTGTGGCTTATGTGCTAATAATTAAAGGAATCTGAATTTTCAATTTTGAGCCTAAATCCTAAATGACTTCACCACAGGGGTTTAAACCCTAGTTTTTTTTTTTTAGTACAGTGAGTATCTTTCAACTACCCTATCACCATGAGGATTAATAAAACCAATTAGGCCATAAATATATAACCAAATTTACAAACCAATAATGTGTCACAAATAGAAAATAAGCACGTTGATCAATACTTAAGTAATAATCCAACTATAAACAACCAAATCATTTGATTTACAAATTTAATTTAAAAAATTTGACATTATCCAAATATAGTATATGATATTGGTGTTGTCGAATAAGGATCCTCTTTGTGAGGATCTTAGGGATCCGTTTGTTCATCATACATCGTGCGATCAGAAATTATTTTAAATATTTTTATTTAAAATTAAACACAAACAGTACATAATAAAAAATAACCATACGATATACGATAAACAGACACGATTCACGAATTCTTAGGATCCGTATCCGAAGAGGATCTCGTTGGGGTGTTGTCTATCTCCAACTCTCTTCCGCATTAAGTCAGCTTTAGTAAAACGATAAAGTGAAGAATCTTATTATTCCATGATAAGTTGCATCTTTTTTTTCTCACATCTTTAAAAAATAAAAACAAAAATGCTTTATCTTGTCTAAAACTTGTTTCTCTTATTTTTAGTTCTCAACGAATTTAATCCATAAGAGATCACATTCTGTTTGGATCCAATATTATTTTATTGGGTAAATGACAAAAAACTATCTCAATTATGGGTCTCACGACACTATCATACCTCATCTTTTAAAATTGACAATATCATACCTCATCTTTAGAATTTGGTCCAATGTTATACCTTCCGTTAGCTTGGCGTGAATTTCTCAGTTAAATACTGACGTGGTTTGATCCGAGGCCTACTTTCTATTAAAAAATTATTAAAAAATTATTAAAAACTAAAAAAAATCATTTAATATTTTAAAAATATTAAAATAATAAAAAAAAGTTATATAAAAATAAAAATAAAAAAAACTCCCAGTTCGTCCTCCCCCCCCCCAACCCTTCTCTTTCTTCTCCCCCATCTTCATCTTCTTCCCTATTCCTGCAACCCAGAAAAAAGAAGAAAAGAAAAAAAACCAATTTGTCTTTCCCCCGCACCCACCCTCAATTTGTCTTCCCCCATCCACCCCCACCACCCCCAAACCCCCTCTTCTCCCCCACTTGCAACCCAAAAAAAAAAAAAACTCAAATCCCGTTGAGGTGGAATCGGGAAACCTTCGTCAAGCTGATTCCGCGAGTGGAGAACCTAGGCATGGAGAAAATGGGGGGAAAGGGTGTGGGGGGAAGAGGGTGGGTGCGAGGTTAGGTGCAGAGGGTGGGTGCGAGGGTGGGTGTGGAGGGTGGATGCGAGGGTGGATGCCATTGGGTTTTTTTTTCCTTCTTTTTTCTGGGTTGCAGGAAGGGGGAAAAAGATGAAGATGAGGGAGGAGAGGGGGGAAGGGAACGAACCGAAGTTTTTTTTTTTTTTTAAACTTTTCTTAATTATTTTAATAATTAAAAAATATGAAATGATTTGTTTTAGTTTTTAATAATTTTTTAATAGAAAGTGGGCCCTGGATCAAGCCACATCAGCATTTAACTGAGAAATTCACGCCAAACTAACAGAAGGTATAACATTGGACCAAATTATAAAGATGAGGTGTGACATTGTCAATTTTAAAAGATGAGGTATGATAGTATTGTGAGACCAATAGTTAAAGTAGTTTTGTGTAATTTACCCCATTTTATTAGTATGTGCAATCGACATCATTGAATGAACAGGGTCATAAACGATCGCACCAGTAACATTAAACTGATTTTCAATTATTTTATATTATTATTGTTGTCATAACCATAATAATTATCTTTCGAATAGTTGGAATTATCCTGATATTTTATTCATAATTACCCAAACAAGGTGTTTTAATGCAATCATATTTGATTTAGGATATTGGTATAATCCAAATTGAGTTGCGATTCGTTAAGATTTGTCAGCTATTGGTTGGAACAGGATGTGATGCTAAGGCCACCTAATTGGGAGCCTAAGATCACTCATGCCATGCATGATGTTGCTAATTATTTGATGTCATCTTTCGGATAAAGGATTAAAATGGGTGGTCAACAAGCAAGGATTGAATTGGTCAGCAAATTTTGGATGAAGGATATATTTGTACTGGATAATATTAAGGAGACCAAATTTGCAAACCAAATGATGATATATCACCAATAAAAAATAAGCACGTTAATTGACAGTATGTTGAGGAGTTTGTCGGTCATGTGGTTTATCAGTCATACAATTCCAGCAAATATGCCATACGGTCTTGGCTAGATACATAGCCAGAACACCATCGAAGCTTTAACAGAATTCTATCATTCAGCAGACCTGGCCTAAGGATTTCGTCTTTATAAATGCAAGAGGGTTCTGCAACATTGAGGGTCTTCAACTCAACAACCAAGTGATTCATAAGCACCTTCAATTTGGATTAGTGAACATCACTGCAGCTAATTGGTTGGTTACCTAGTATCGACGGACGAAGAATTATCTATTCTTTAGTCTCAAGAGGTCTTCTCATCAACTTCTGCAAAGTGAGGTGGTCCCCAATTACTCCTCGTTCAACACAACGAAAACCGAACCAATTATTGAACTTCGCAGTGATCAAGTAACCTCATCTTCAAGTTCTAGAACCAAAGGACAAGATATGTTCCTTCCTCGGAGCGTATTTGACACCACTACCACCTCAATTCTTGGTAAACCCACATTCACAAGAATGACTTATTTAACTTAATTACTTGCCATGTACGCCATGTAGGCTTTGTAATTTTTGGGGATGGAGTTGGATATATAGTTGTGCATTTGGAGAAGGATTTGAGAAATAATGGAATATTAAGATAAGGATTTTGAAACTTTTGATTCATAATTCAACACCGTTGATACCTACATTAATTTAATTGAGAAAAAGATAGATTCGTAATTCAATAAAGAAACTAAGTAATCTAACTTGATGGCTTGGAAAGAGTTTAGAAAACCTTTTAAGGGATGGATTGGAGTGTATGTGTATGGTTGTGAGTATAGAGAAGGATTTGAAAAAATGTCATGGTTGAATATATAAAAAAAGAAATGGATTTTACTTGTATACGTGTATCAAATAAATTAAGAATTTATTCAAATTATTTTTTGCGCCTATGAGCATTTGAACTAAGAAAATTCTAGCTCACTTATTTTATAACACTAAACTATGTTTTCTTCTTTTTAACAAAATGATATTATTTACTCTAAACTATGATTGTTATTTCTTTTAATCACTAGTGTGACGAACCGTCCCTAATTTTTCATGTAATTTCATTCCTGAGTGTGTAAAATGATGATTATGCCTTGTTGGCAAAGTCGAACCTGACGTGGACATTGTTATTCGACTTTTAATTTATTTTTCCTATTATCATAATTAAATAGTACGCATTGTTACGAATGCGTGAACGCAAGTTAGAGTCGAATCGGATTTGTAAGGAAGAAGTTATGTTTAGTTAAAGTACGTTAACAACGGGTAAAATTGTACCCATGTGTGTTAATTATTTTAGTGTTGGAAACACTGTTTTTGATAAGGTGAGCCACATTTTGTATACTTTTAAATTGTGCAAAATCTGAATTCTTCCCATTTTAAAAACCGGTCTCGTGACCTTATCTCACCACCAATCGGTTTTCTTCCATTACTTTTTCACCCAATCAGAAACCGTTTCTCTCTTGTCCAATCAAAAACACTCTGCCTCTCTCTCTCTCTTCTTTTCCTTCTCTCTCTTTTTCATGTCGTGTTTCTCTTCTCTTTGCAACAACTAAGAACCATAATCAAACATCATAGATCGGACTTCAAATCACCAATATCGTACTCCTCTCATCCCCACAAGTCCATTCGTACGAGCCAATTCTAAAATGATCGAGTTTTGAGCTTTCAACTCGAACCTTTAACTCGGGTGTAGGTTCTCCGGCTATTTTTTGTTCGAATTGCAAGGTTTTGGAAGGTTTAGAAGCAACTACATAACTCTCTAGAGTCCCTAACCTAATTTTGAAGTCAAGCCAACATGTAGACATGCGGCTTTGGGACGTTAGAATTAGGGCCAAGATATTCAAGCCATTTTCAATCCATTTTCGTCCAATTTTTTGGACTTTCAAAAGGTACAAACTTGTTCTTCTCTTCCCAAGCTTCATTTCCATATAAAGTACGTTGAAAATGATTAAGAAATGAGGAATATATGAAGTTTTAAAGTTTTTACAAAAATTTGACCATTTCCAGATTTTGGCGAACCAGGCGGTGGCGACCGACAGTGACCGGGAAATTGGAGAAGGAGAATATTTTGTTAAAGTTGACAGAATATTCTCACGTTGTTACTAACACCGTTAAGGTAACACTGTTAGATTTAATGGACTATTCCGTCAAATTTGACAGCATATTCCATTGGGACCTGCCAGTACGTGCAAGCACGTGGCAGCGCGTGTGGTCGCAAGCTGGCAGCGCGTGGATATGCGTGAGGGCGTGTACCGCTTTGTGGCGACGCGTGGTCAATGTGTAGAGGTCCGTGACGTCGTGTAAA